TTCCAAATACATCCGCGCCACCCGGGGCACCCCTAACATTGGAGTACTGCCTTCTTCCTCTTCGCCAGACTCATCTTCGCTGCCTAAAAGGCAAAAATGGACAAGTTTTGGATTCGATTTTAATAAGTACCTTACTTCCGCGATTGTTGAAAAATAGTTGTTGTTAAAATGCCTTACCATAATTTAGCATATTGGCTATTTCAGTATCGTCGAGAGGTCTGATACTGGCCGGAAGAACTCTAAAAATAAAAAAGATATTTTAATCAACGCTTGTAATTCTTTTATAGAGTAGGTATACCGAGATGAACTTTCTTTGATTGCCAATTACGCGATGATGCATAAATAAAAGTTTGATAATTAATACAAAAACAACTAAACAAGAAAACAACAAAAAAAATCTTTAAAAAAAATTAATACAAAATTCAAAAACGTTATCCATACTATTCCAACCAGCTAAATCAGCAGCCATTTTGTTAAATAAAACGTATTGTGACGGATCCCAGTACAGGACTTTGAGTGCATTCATATCTTTGAGGTTGAAAATTTCGCGATTGTGATTAAATACACGTAAACTGTAATAATTAGATAGAAGTTCATTAAAGTAATGAGCAGAATTATACATATTCGTTTAGGTTATAATAAGTTTTCTAGCAAATATCATAAAATGAAATCCATCTACAAATTCGTAAAATGGCTTGACTGTGGCTTCAAATGTTGTTTTTGATATAAAATGTTAAGAATTTAATCATATTAGTTAATAAAATGAAATATTACTTACTGTTCCATGATTTCATTGCTGAATAACAGTATAAAATGTGAAACTAAGCACAAACACAATAGTTCTTTCGCGGCAATCACAGACTGTCTCGATCACAAATTAAAACAACAAAAGTCAACTTTTTTATACCACAGACTTCCCAAATTCTATGTGAGAGGAGACCCTGTTCTTTCGTGAACAATTCGTAATACGTGCGAAAGGGATAGAGCTTTAGGACGCAATTTAATAGGCATTTAAACAAACATCTGTGCCGCGTCCTGTGACAGGACGCGTCACGTACGAAAGGTTATGAATGAAGTTCCTAAATTAATAAACCAAAATGACCTAAGTAAACTTTTGAACTTTTAAACCCTAAAGTTAATACATTGTTAAGAATACCTCCCACTATATCTACATACAAACTACAATAACCTAGCATACCTCAATCTACATACTTCCTCACACAAATGTAGAATCCAACAAATATATCAAAATAAGTCTAAAAGTTAATGACAAAATAGTGAAATTTTAATATTTAATAATATCTTTAATGTGATAGCGACCAGTGGTGTTCTTTAAAAGGTCCTGCAAAAGGTAAACATTATCTGAAATCTTCTCTATAATTTTACATTTAACAAACTTAGGTCCAAGCTTTGCCGAAATATGCTGGAGCGCCAAACTGAACAAAACCTCTTCTCCAAACAATATCACCAACATCAAAAGAAATAGAAATAGTAACAAATAATATTAATATATAATATAAAATAGTAACAAATAATATTAATAATTTTAATATATAGCGATGCGCAATACGCTTTTAACAAATGTGACTCAACTCTAACAAAAATATCACTAAGTGATTTAAAAGAAAGGGCACAAAAATCCCTTTAACAAACTCAAGTTGGTCTAAACTAACAAAGAATTACTAAAATGGTGTAGAGAAGCATCAACAAATTAACTCTCTACCAAACATGAGAAAATTAAGTGTAAAACCAGTAACCAAATTTACACTTCTAATAAAAGCTAACTAAATGTGAGGCTAAAATTTAAAGCAAGAACAAACTAACAAAATCTAATCTTTAACAAAACGTGATACAAGTCTCTACTGTCCTACTATATCTCTTCGCAGGGTCAGAGGTGTGTACAAAGTGCTATGAAACATTTTTGTAATGTTACAACCTTTAACAACATCTACAAAATGCTTAGAAGAGAATTGAGTAACCTAAACACAACTATTATCTTAGAACAACCAAATTCAAGAAACTATTGGTGACTATTAAAACCAAGAATACAACTATTTGAACCACTATACAACTATTTGAACTACTATCCAATAAACCCAAAAATTTATTCCCACTAATTGAAAATTCTAAATAAGGCGCTTAACAAATAAAACAGGCTAAAAAATATATATGCTATAAACCTATAAACGCTAAAAAATTTTTTAAAATAATCCAACCAGTCTAAAAATTCCATTCTGCAAGTGACTCCGTCAGGCTCCTTAGTGTGACTAACCATTTTTATAACATCGAGACATCCCTAGTGTTCTCAGAAACCGGAGCTCGATGAAACCTAACCAGTTTTTCCACTCAGGTGAGCTTTTCTTCGCCGAACTGCACACATCACAAAACCTTGTGGTAACCCCAACCTCTGACACTTGAGACAAATCATACCAGGAATCGAAGAACAGTTCTTAAAGGTGTGACCGGTTGACTTACCATTTAAACAAACAACGCTAGTATAGTTTAACATGATAGCGTTGGACTATACTTTTTCAAATTCAAAAGGCTTGGAGTAATCTTTAAGAGATTTCCAATTAACAAAAACTTCAACCCGACAAAAACTACAAAATTCCAAAGTGGCAGTCCAAATGTTAAGTTCTTCAAAGTTAATTAAGTTTAAATTTATTTAAAAGTGAATTGTAGTGAAAAGATAAATTAAAATTTATTTAAAAGTCAACTGTTGTGAAAAGCTAAGTTTAAATTATTTAAAGGTTAAATGTTGTGAAAAGATAAGTTTAAATTTATTTAAAAGTTAAATGTTGTGAAGAAAAGTCTAAATTGATTTAAAAGTGAAGTGAGAAAAGTCAAATTTTAATTTACATATCTAAGTTCTGTATTAAAAAGGATTTAAAGATTGCAGTAACCACTAACAATTGTTTCAACAACTAGATAATAACAGTAAAGTTAAGCTAAATTAAGTTAATCTTAATTTACAATAAGTTATAGTATAATAATTCAAAAGGTATCTCTAAAATGTTTCTCGAGCAGACTTATAATTAACATTCAAAGCTATTAAATTGTAACACAAAATGCTTCAGTAACTATACCCTTAATTGAGAATACAATAGGCAGCAGTATAACTTAAATTATTGTTGCTTGTTAAAGCAAAAATAACATTGTGAAGAAAAGTCACAATGTTGTAATCTAATGTTGAAAAATTGTGAAAATAACCTCACTTAAATGTTAACACAAATGTAACAAAATTACAAAGCAAATAATACACAAAGTATGTAATACAAAAGTAGAATGCAGTAAAGACAGTATCTAATCAGTTATCTAATTAACCTACAGACACTACTTCAGTCCCTGAGCGCTGGCGACAATTGTAATATTAAAAAAATTTAAAAAAATATATTTTATTGTGTGTTGTGGTCTGTGTTTTAAACAAACAAACAAACTAACTGGTGGCACCACAAATACTAACAAACTAACAAACTCGGGCGCCAGGTACCACCGTTTCAATGAACCCAGACAACCAACAACAAATACAATAAATGCCTCGGACAACTCGGTCAGCGCTAGACTTTTAATCTAGGACGGGGGGCAGCTAATAAATACAAAGATGTTAAGTTCTAGTGGCAGTTTATTATCCCGTAGTGTCTGTAGAGTACATGGTATCTTAAGACTCTAATTACAATAGGTAATTCTTATACTCAAATTAGTACTGTCGTTAATGCAATCTGGTTCAAATAAATGAATAAACCAAACTAAAATTAAATATGTTTTAAGAGTCACATAAAGACTTAATAAGAAATTAATCTAAGGGTAGTTGTAGCATCGACCTACTCCCTTAATAAAAATAACACCCCTTGGGGACCTGCAGTATCCGATGCCACGACGCCAAACAAATTAATAAAAACACATACCAAATGACCTTGGCTCAGTCCGAATGAAATGAAGGCAAACCAAATCTAATAAATCTCACTCCGGTTCCCACGTGGTGGAAGAGGCGGGTTAGTATTCCCAGGTTCAGGTTAATGACATTACAATCCAATAAGAAAGTAAGGTATAATTTGAAATTAAAGAATTTAAGGTATAAATAGAAAAATTTAGGTATAAAAAGAAACTAAGGTGTAAACTAAAACTTTAGGTGTAAATTAAAACCCTGATTCATCAGGGTCCCAAAACGTTTAACAAACCAAGCAGCGACATTATAATTAATTCCTTTTTAATGAAAATAACAATTCGAACAATATAATTTGAGTCTTTAACGAGATTGGCCAAACAATAAAATATGAAATATGCCTTCGTTACAACAAAAAGGCTACATTTTAAAAAACTAAACCTTCTTCGACCCGGACAAAAACCAATGTGACGCCATCTTGCTAATGTTGCCAGAACAAGAAAAACTAAATCGATAAATTACCATAGACGATCAGCACCGACTATTATTCTCGTCCACCTCATTGACAATCGGCACTCGCTGAAACGTCATAAAATTCAACAGACAAACTAAAAACACGTCTATGATTCAATTTACTGTAATGGTGCGAAATGCACCGTTACAAGCCACAGAGATTACACAATATTATTTTTTCTGGGTGGAAATCAAACCCACAGCCTCTGGCTGGAGACCCAACAGACTAGTCAAATTTGATCAATATTTAAATGTTCTCAAATTATTTACACTATTAAATTATTTATGCCTTTTGAAATGATAACGCCGATATATTTTCATTTTAACTTTCAATCATTACAATGAGTAACAGAAGATATCCCTATGTGATAGAACACTTTTATAATATACTAGCTGACCCAGCAAACATTGTTTTGAAAAAAAATATTTAGGGGTGGGTTACCCTTATGATTTAGGGGTATGAAAAATAGATGTTGGCCGATTCTCAGACCAACCCGATGTGCATACAAAATTTCATAAAAATTGGTCCAACCGTTTCGGAGGAGTATGGTAACTAACATTGTGACACGATAATTTTATATATAAGATTAAAAATATCGCTTACCCTTGCTCTAAAGAATCTACAGTAGCCTGTTCCCTGTGATCATCGACACCTACATAAATTGGTTCTTGTTTTATAGCCAGGGCGGTCAGAGCCTCGGTTTTCTTTGTCTGTGTGGCACTGAACAACATTGTCTGACGGCGTTCTAAAATTATTACAAAAACATTAATGTCAAATAATGTTGACACAGGATCAACAATAAAATATTTTGTGTTTCATCACTTTTTACTAAAACAAATGATATTGAAACTCTTATTGGTACAACATGGGTCAAAAGAAAGGTTTTTACATACTTGGCATCAACTTGATGATCTGCTTAACTTCTTCTTCAAAACCAATTTCCAATATCCTATCAGCCTCATCAATGACAAGGCATTGCAGATTTTTGTACAAAAAGTCTGGTGTGTTTTGTAAATGATCTAACAATCGTCCAGGTGTTGCTACTAGAATATTTATACCTGTAAAATAACATAAATTTTTCTGAATAAAATATACATATTTTTAAAATAAAAAAGTTTTGAGCCATTAAGACTAATAATAATTGCAATCAACATATTATAAATTAATCTACACTATGTGAAAGCTGTGGTATTATTTGGCAACCAAAATATATTCAAGATCGAGTGGGACTTGACTCCTACAGAAAGAATTAAAGTACTCATAAAGTTAAAAGTCAAGGAGGTGTCATACTCAATAGATAGAATCAGGTCAGATACATACAAGTCCAGACTCTATACAAATTTGCCTATAAACCTTTATACATTCTGCTGTCAACCGCTGTACATCCTCAGAAAAAAATACTTTGAATCGCCTCTTTTAAAACTTTATATGAAGATAACTTTTTTTTTTTTTTTTCTTTTTTTTTAAAAGACATCTCCCGCACTAGGAATAAATCCTGTGTCGCGGGGGACTTTACAAACATACATGAAACGGACACAAAGTACACCCAGACTCAGAACAACAATTTGTGGATCACACAAATTGTTTTTCCATGTGGGGTTTGAACCCACAACACTCGGCGTAATAGGAAGCGGCGTGGCGACCGCTTAAACCACTACGCCATCCGTGCAGTCTATGATCATAAAGTTTAGCTGAAGGTTTAATCTATGACCACTTATGCTTTACATATCTATAGTTATAAAACTGTAAGTATTACACAAAAAAAATTTGAACATTCCATTACAAGAATAAAGTCAAAAATTACTAATCACTTAATAACATGAGCAATTACCTCAGCTGTAATTATTTTCTTTACAGTGCAACCTTTTTGCAACCAATGACACAAAAAGGGAGTTGTTATAACTTAAAATATCTGTATAATGTGGCATCATTTCACCTTATACTAATAGTGTATCTTTCTACCACCATTCAAAACTCTTTGTATTACTTACTAGCCAGTTTAAAATGTTCCAATACAAGCTTTTCTAATCAATGTAAACAAAGTTTTTCTTGGGCAAGAGTAAATTATTAAATAATATTTTTTTAGCTCAGCTTTAATATTACCACTCTACAATTAGGATACCATAGTATTATTAATATATATTTCGAAATTTTATAATTTAAGGAAAATTACCGTTATATAACTTCTTGGCCTCAGTACTTCTGTTAGCACCACCCATTACCAGGCCATACGTGTGATGATGATATTTCATCAATTCCATTAATACTCCAAATGTTTGCATAGCTAACTCTCTTGTTGGTGACAGAATGATAGCACCAGTACCTTAAAAAATATTGAATTATTCATTAGACAGAGAGTACAGAAAAGACAACAAACTATAAACAAAGACCAATATTAAAATATGTTTGCTGATAGGTATTAAATTTAATGTACATTAGATGTTGGTAAGTGTATCAACTTGTGAATTTCAATGAGATCATACTTAACTGTCAGGTTCGTATCTGAGCTCCTGCCCCTAATACAAACCTGATCTGCACATGATTTCAAACTTAATATAGGGACTTCTGACTACATATTTTAAAAGTTATTTTACATAAATTATTTTTGTGATATACAGATGACTATAATTTTCAGACTTTAACTTACCATTTCTTGGTTTAAATTGAAGTTTGTAAATCAGTTCAATGACTGGTATAAGAAAAGCTAAGGTTTTTCCTGATCCAGTTCTAGCTGAACCCACAAGGTCCCTGCCCTCAATCAGTGGTGGGATTGCTTTTGCCTGAATTTCTGTCATGGTGGTAAATCCCATTTCTTTTATACTCTTCAAAGTAGATTCGCAGACCTTGCCTTCTAAAGATGTAAATTTTTGATCGGATAAAATCCCAAGACATAAGCTAGATCCAGGTACTGAAATATAACAATAATGGTATTCTATTTTTTACAAGATTGAATCAAGAATCTAATAACTACGCAGTTATAGGTTGGGGTTTCCCAATCATTATTTCTAGTGTTTTATAATTTAATGGATGCAGACTGCCCAAGACTCGGATAGTTGGCATTCTTTGGGGGAGGCCTTCATTCTGCAGTGGCAATACACTGAAGTAGATGTAGTATAATTTAATTAATTTAATATGTCTTGTCCAGTGAGCCTCAAATGTTTAAATCCAATTTTACCAAATATTATGACCAATACAGTATATTCCCAATAAATATACATCGGTTTAAAACCTTGTAAACATGTAAGTTCCATAAGTTTGTATATATGATTATAATCCAATGACAAGAAAAATAAAGCTAATCAAAATAATGTTTACAGCTATTTTTAAATAACAACATAAGCAAAAATGTGAGTGTAAATTATGTGTGTTACGAGTATTTTACATGAAAACAAAAATATAAGATGACTAATAATATTGGTGTTGATACTTACACTGACTTTCATCAAAATTGGTCTTAGACTCATTTTCCAAATCACTGCTTTCATTTTCAGACCCATTTTCTGCTTTACTTTCTCTTTCTTCTTTCAATGGTTGTGGTTCAATTTTCACTTTGTGTGTAAGATTCTTCTTTTTCTCTATAAAATAGGTACCCTTTTTATTTAATCTCTTTAATTAAATAACCTTACTCAATAATTAAACCCTGTGTTTATTTATAATTGTTGTTTTAAAATTAACCTCACCTAAATTTTGATTGGCATGTATATCCTAAATATTTAAATATAATTTCAATTATTTGAGAGATTTTCTTTTGGGAAAAGAAAAGGGATGGAATGCTATGTTCTGTTTTGGACCTGTGATAAATGTTATCACAGGTCCAAAATGCAAGATTTCATTACGATTTCTAATGAGTGTGTAAGTGTATAATTCAAAATGCTTACACATGCTTATGCATTGAAGGATTTCACCATCAATCCATATATTTTATTAACTTTGGTATAAAATGTTGGCAGTCATTTCATTTCCATTTTATTAATACTTTTTAAAACAATAATTAAGAACCCCCGGTACACCCATTCAATCTCAGTAAGGTGTGTGATATAAGTTTAACAAAAACTATACTGATATAATTTTTTATTTGGTATATGGGGCACAAATTATAAGACCTACTATCTATTACTATAGGTACTTCATTTGTTTACAACTTATGCAAACAATTATGTTGTGTAAATGTGTTGTCACTAATTGTGCACAAATAACTTCGGAAGGATACGGACGGAATGACGGAGTCTCTTGAACAGCCATCTGTTCAAGCAAATAATCTGTTAATTTAAATAATCTATTTAATGTGCCACCAATAACAAAATATTTTAACCTTCCATATATTAGGTACACGTGGTCTGTGTTTATAAATTCCAGTGCGTTCTATAACACATGGATGTTGTTTATCTATCCACAAGTGCTGTAACGTAATCGCAGATCTTTGCGACTATCACATAAATTTAATAACGAATAATTAGTAAAGCCACACTATTTAGATATGAAATGATGATTAAGTTTGTCCAGGAAGCAATTATGTTATTATGTGTATTGTTAGTACTTACTTTTGGGGGGTGATTTTTCATTAACCTCACATGATCTTTTTGAAGTAACAACTTCTTGCAGTACCGTTTCTAAAAAAAAACAACAAAATTGTAATATACTGAAATGCAACTTATATATAAATTAAAGTGTACAAAAATTAAATATGTTGCAAAAGATACTAAAAATATGTAATCATTAGAGGTTATATTACCTGGTACCTCGTTGGAAACACCGTTTGCTTTTTTGTTTACTAAATTCAACTTCTTTTTCTCACGTTTTTTTATTTTGCGCGTGAGGATCTTTTCTGGCTTAGTCATTTTTAATATTTTCACAAAACCCAGCACAGAATGTCTGGATCACAGTGATCACAGATCACACCACACCACTATAAAAACAGCACTTTATGCACGCACAGCCTCTGTCACCATATAATTTTACAAAGCACAGATAACTATATACTAGTCAGAGATTATAAAGAGACAGTACAATCAGTACAGTATAAAAAGAGCCACAGAGTATACAGAGTGTCACAACCAATATTCATCCCGTGGGTGTCGTAAGAGGCGACTAAGGAAACGAACTACGCAGGACAACAGCACAGTAACAGTGATATAGTAGGCCAAAACCTCCTTGTTAAGGAGAGGCCTATGTCCAGCAGTGGACTGTTGAAGGCTGTTGATGATGATTATTAGAGAAATAGAGCGGTCCCCGATACGAGGACTACCACAGACAGAGGTTTATATATGTACTCTGTCTGTAGACAGAGTATATATATTATATATATACCATTTTAAAAAAATACTATACTTCTTTTCTATTAATCATGTCAAGTAAACAATAAAAACCGGCTAAGTGCGCACGAAGGGTTCCGTATCAATATCTATAAAAACGGAAAAAAATCACTTTTGTTGTATGGGAACCACCTTAAATATTTGTTTTATTTTAATTTTTTTTTTTTTAAAGTGAATATAACTAAATATTCTGTGAATATTTCAAGCGGCTACCTGTTGCCGTTATCAATATCATTGTACATTGTTTTTTCATTGTACTTGAATTGTATACTAATTTTTTTGTGTAAGTATGCAAATGTGAATACAGTGTAGGCCTGTAATGTTAGTTCATATTTAGTAACGTTCTGGTGGTTTTGAGTGTTTCCTCAGCCTAGTAGTGTCCCGCTTCGGGTCGTTGAATATCAGTTAAGCTATACGAAGGCTGGGGCTGGTATGGATAGGCCGACTCAAAACTATGGTCCTTTCTTCAGCAGGCCAACCCAGGTTCTATACTGTATGTTTTCTTTAACATTGTTTACAGACAAAAAAAAATACACCTCTGAAAATGTCGGTGCCTTCTAGCTGTTAAGATAGTAAAAATATCTGAACAGATTTACTTCCAGAAATAAATATCATTAATGCATAAAAATACCTGTTTTGTAATGAATGTCTTGATTTATTGTAAATATTAAAAAAAAACACTTGTTTACGTACTGCCTTGATGGCCTTCACGTACATTCTATAGAAAAATAACTGGTCATAGATGATATTAATAAATTGAAAGACTGAACAGTTAGTCTCAGAAGAAGTATTTAAACAAATCACATCAATGACTGGTAAATATTAGTATTAAAAAATGTATCCAAGTATTCTATCAGTCAACCTAGCATTCATAGTACAAGCTCTAGTTTGAAACTAGATGTGTACTGATGTATGAAAAAATATTATCATATAATATATTAAATCTTATTATATTATTCCTTTTCTGAACTCTATAATCAGTTGTTTTACTTACATAATGATCATTATTGTGTGGAGGAACGGGTATCATGTCCCTCCAACACAAAGGGAGGATCCTCCGACCAGGCGAGGTGATCATGCCTGGCGGGCCGCGGCCCAACGGTTGACGTTGGGAAGTTGTAGATATGCTAATCGGCGAGGGAATTCTTTATATTGAGATACAGGATTAGCAATTCTTATTTTAGTAGTTACTCCGTAGTTCGGTGTGTCTTCATTAGATGGCGTTGTAGTATGTTTCTGTTTTTTGTATGTGGGAGTCGCCAAATCACTCCCCTCCAAGACCGGAGGTCGATACATGATGAGTCAGCTGTCTATGCTCTGTTGTGGAGCGTGCCAGTGCCAGTAGAGAGTAGTTCCAGTGAGTCGGAACTGAGTGCCACTAGTTCCAGTGGGTCGGAACTGAGTGCCGCTAGCCCCAGTGAGTCGGGGCTGAAGTCCGCTGATCCCAGTGAGTCGGGATTTCGTGCGGTGAGCGGTGCTGCGGTGAAGTCCCCAGTGAGTCGGGGCGGTTGCTGCGTAGTGGCTGGCTGCTGCGTAGACGGGAGAGAAAATGCTCTTCTTACGTGGACCGTAGGTGCAGTGTGCTGTGCCTAGACGCTGATGAGGCCGTAGAGGTAACCAGACTGGAGCGGTCGCTACCTGCGTGTGGTATCCCTGTAGAGGCCGAGGTTGCTGGCTGGCTGAGACTTGATTACTGCTCATCGCTGCGGGAGTGTAGACGATGGCGCTGCTGATGATCTGCTGCTTTTGAAGGCTGCTTCCAATCACGTCGGGGTCACCGCTGTGGAGGAACCACAAAGGGAGGATCCTCCGACCAGGCAAGGTGATCATGCCTGGCGGGCCGCGGCCCAACGGCTGACGTTGGGAAGTTGTATATATGCTAATCGGCGAGGAAATTCTTTATATCGCGATACAGGATTAGCAATTCTTATTTTAGTAGTTACTCCGTAGTTCGGTGTGTCTTCATTAGATGGCGTTGTAGTATGTTTCTGTTTTTTGTATGTGGGTGTCGCCAACATTGTATATTTATATGTGACGTTTGTGTATATTTTTTCTAGGTCTAAGTTTGCCACTGAATTTTTTTTCACAACTACAGGCAAAAAAAGTTATCACCGTTTATGGTACTTCGCTATGCAAGCTATCAGAAACAAAATATAGGAATTTTATATTGTAAAAAAATAAATTTATGATTTTGTTGTTTACTTTGATTCATATGAGGCTGCTTGAATTTCGCCTTCCAAAGACCAAACTACGACGTCTGATGCAACGACCAACAGTTGCACGCGGAAGGCGGTACAAACGACCTTATGTTACTTACACTGCAAATGTATTTATTTATATAACTTTATCCACTTTTGTATATCGGCGGACTTAATGCCCAAGGCATTCTTTTCCAGTCAACCTTTGGGTGGTGTAGAAATCTTGTAATGTGGTACATGGAATGGAGAGTGTGGCCTACCGGTTACGAGAGGGGTGACATATCTGCCGTCCCAAGTTTCGCAAAGCCGAACGTGGCGGCGGTCAATGCCGAACACCGGCAACCAGAGGACCCGACACACAGACGCCGACTTATTGGAAGCGGGGGCCTTTTCCTACCTAGAGTGGCCAAGAGGAGAAAACCACACAACCACAAGGGCAGGGTGGCTTACACCGCATACCATGGGATATCCCTACCGTGTTCTTCTGTTGCGCAGAGGGCACGTGTGTGGGGTTACGTCGGAGGATGACGTCTGATGGGGTCAACTTGATTGCCGTCGTAAGTTCCGAATGGAGCAACTAACGGTTGTCACTGCCGAACTCCGGCAGTCGATCAGCCCAACCTGTAAACGCCGAGCAATCGGAAATTGAATGCGGCCTTCTCGAACGGGGAGGAGGGTAGAGAAGGCCGCAAGGAAAAAATATTTTATTTGATGATTCAATTTTAAGTGACAGATATACTATTTTAAGAAGAAATATTTTTTAGATCATTGAAATTATTAAAGTATTCGATAATTGAGATATTGAAGTATTTAATAAAAATACCCATAACGATAAATTGTAACCACTGATTATCATGAAATCACATTTTGAATTGTTGTGCATCTACCATTTTGATTTCGTAGGGAAATCCGCTCGGGCCGTCACCCCACCGGGGTTTGGAGCGAGGTTGGGTTTCGGCATCGAACCTACTAAAACCACACCTTGTGCTACACTCCGCCTGAAGTAAGAGGGATTCAGGAACAGCTGTTCACAAGGAACAGGCATCACTTTTGGGTACATTCTATATTCAGGCTACGTCCCTCACACGCGGACGTCACGTCACGTCTTCTCGCGATTGGGCTTTAAGGCGAGTGGAGCGGAAAACCCGTGCCGTCCACCCGCGGCCACATTCAGGGCGGCATGAGCCACTGAAATGAGTCTTCGGGCTGGGGCCGACTGATGCTACTCACCCGCAACTCAGCCGATATACTATAAAGTCAACGAAAAATAAAATACGAAAACCAAATACGAAATACACCAAAAACAAAAAAATGGCCATCACTTTCAAACTTAACAACAAAGATGTCTACGTAAATGTGGGAGTGAGAAGCATCAATTGCAATTGCAATGGTCATTTTTCAAATGACCATTCGAGAGTTTACAAATATTAATTTGTTCAATCGATCTACCGTCAAATGGTTGCGATCTTTGGTTTATGTTTTCCAAATCAAAGACCATTTTACAATGGTGGATTATTCAATATTCTTATAACAATAGGAGATAAGGGCTTTGACAGACACAACGTGTCTGTTGTATCGTTTTCTGGTTAACAACGTGGCGTCCATCCGTCGACGAGTGGACACCGAGTCGAAGTGGTGCTTGTCGGGTGTCGGATGGGTTTGATGAGCTATGACCTTTATTCACCGTAATACAGAAAATAATGAATGAGAATAAATAAAAAAAAAGGTTTCCATAGCAACTCGTTGGTTGGTTGGTGAACATAGGTTCGGCCTAATTCTGAAATACCAAGGTGTTGTTGATGGACAATATATTTCTAACTTTTGATATAAAATGCGTAGCTGGTTGATATTCGTTATTATTAAGGCTCACTGCTTTATTGTTATATAATATATTCATATATAATCACATTAATGCGAAAAATACATGTAAAAAACTTAAACTTGCCAAAGATTCAACCGAAAATAGGCTTCTTAGGAGGAAAAAAGGCTTCCCCCGCCTATCGGCATCTTACCAATAGCCCCCCCCCCTCCCCCTACGCTACACCACTGGGTTAAATAATTGTGTATTTGTCAATATATTCATGTTTTGTGTTATCGGGTTCTTGTAATGTATTACAAAATTAGAGCTCGGATAACCGTAACATATTGTTGACGTTATAGTGTGTATAAGTGATATATTATTTGTTAAAATAAAACAACAATTAGATAAAATAAACCTAATTTATTATACAATAACTATCAACTGACAGATTTTTCGTTGTTGCCCTTTTGTCTGTATATTTTATTTTTCCCACTTTTCCTTTTGTGAGGCTGCCCCTTTAGTTCGATAGCTGGTGGTACTTTAAAGCCAAAGGACTTTGCCACTTTCTTCATATCGATGGTATTGAAGTCGAATATTGTTTTGAGACGATGCGAGTCGTATGCTCGCAAGTAACTTTGAAACGCTTCTGTCGCAGATTGCTTTAGATAGTAGTTTCTGGATAATAATTTCTCGAGCTGTAACAGAAATTTTGTACAAAAATTGGAATTGTATAACTGTTGCTATTTAATAGGTGTGTATTCTTAAACATTATAAAGATGTAAATTATGTGCTTTCTAAAACACAAGCGTTACTTGGGGTGAAGACGCTGTCTGTGATCTTTAATTAATTTATGAACTAGGCACCTTCGTTTATGTTTTATCTGTTTAGTTCCTCTGTTTCTCACCAGAGTCGCCACCGCGACTGCATAAAAGTTGACAGCTGTTTGAACTCATCTCGTTTGTAATTTTTACGGACTAACATTAGTTTCATTATGTGCAACTGATATCATTTAATTTAGAAAAAAGTTTAATATTATGATAAAATTGTGTGCAAGATGGCGAGCGTCGCCGTCGTTATAGGTGTTGTTCCAGACAGAACAGGAGACCACTCAAAGCGCTCAGTGGCGTGACCATGGAGAGAGTGCGTGTTTCATTGATAACTAGCCTCAACATTTAAAGAACTGTATTAAAGCCTATAGAGATTATTTTGAATGAGCTTCATATATTATATTAATGTATACAACTAACACAGTAATAAATGTATTGTGCAATAGAAAAACATTGATATTACAAGGTTTATGGCAAGACTAGGTATACTTATAAATATGAATTTAAAGCAAAATCCGTCCAGTGGCCAACCTAGTTTGAAATGTCGTTAAATGTTTGAAGTAATAATGAATAGTTGGCTGCACTAAATACTCACCGGTAGTTGTATATCAGCAACTTTTGTCGGAAGGAACGTATACTTTTTAAGCATTACCCTCAACTGCTTCAAATGCCTGAGAAAACCATACTCTTCGGGGCGTAAAAATAATAGCGCCTGTCCACTGGTTCCAAGGCCTCTTGCAGTTCTGCCGACACGATGGATATATTCCTAAACGAGAGCGCATATTAAATGTTAAACATTAGTTATTGTATTCGCCTGAAGGGGTCCGTGCGATAAATATGTATCTATCATGTTTTCTTTTACAAACTTACTTGCACTTACATAATAAAGAGAGATTTATAATGATGTTTTAAAAGGATAGACTTATAGTTAATCCTGTATTATGTACCAACTTTTGTCCGCGGCTCCGCCCGCATGTAAATCGCGGTATAAAGTAGCCTATGTTACTCGCTGATAATGCAGCTTTCAATTGGTGAAATAGTTTTAAAAATCGTTTGGGTGTGAAAGCGTAACAAACAAACTCACTTTCACATTTGCAATATGTATAAATTTTGTTAACTTTTTACATACCGGCAAATGATTTATATTTTTTTCAGTTTTAGAAAGATAAGGAGAGTAATGGTCAAATTATATATAACATTAAACACCCTCACATTAAGTGCTTTAGTATATGTAACATAAACTGAATACACACACAAATGTGCTATTTGACATTAAAAGTAACCAAATTGAAAATTGATTTATTTACATTGCATTTTGGTCAAATTTAATCTTAATAGATGCAGTAGGTTATGAAAATAATGCATTTGGCAGACAGGCGGCACCCCCAAAAATATAGCACATTGAAACTGTATTAATAAAATTCGTTAGGAAGACCGTACATACCTTGGGATCATCTGGAGGGTCATATTGAATAATCCAGTCAACTGCAGGTATGTCTAGACCTCTAGCAGCTACATCTGTACATAACAATACACCACTTTCGGCATTGCAGAACTTGAACAACGTTCTTGTACGTTGTGACTGTTCTTGCTTTCCCTGCAGGAAGAAAAATCAATTGGTGTAACTAATTGCTACGATGCATGAAACAGTGATGATGAATGCACAAGTACATTTATTACTAGCTGGTACCCGCGAATTTGAGAACGCGTCCTTAGCGAGACGCGACTGCAGTCCATGAGGCCTCGGGTTCGATTCCTGGACAGGCCAACATTTTATAGGGTTTTTCGACGAGGAAAATAAATAACCAAATTGACAACCTCTTCCTTACTCTTTACTCCTTATATAGACAGCTTATCCTCCTTATATATCAAAATCCAGTCGTCTAGAAGATTAAACGGAACAAACAGGCAGACAAAAAAATGTTTAAACCGATTTTTAGGCACAAGTATCGTGCAAATAACATAGCATGAAGAAACCTATTTTTTTACATTACAAACAGATATTTTATTTATTTGTATACGAGGGCTGCTATTATTTATCCGGCATAACAAAGTAAAGCAAACATATAGCATTTATTATAGTTTTATTGCTTTTCAAAATATTTGCTGTAATGATCGATGTGCTTTTGCATACGTTGTAACCAATTTTCGTAGCACTTTTACATTCTGATTGTGGTATCTCTAAAACGCGCTTTTTCAATGCATCAATAGCCTCCTCTTCACGGCTCGAAAAACGTTGACCACGTAGTTTATTCTTCACGGTTGGGAATAAATAGGTCGCTGTGGGCTTTTGATCTTCCAAATACTGAGTTGTTTCGGCTGATGTGTGGCAGCTAGCATTGTCATGATGAAGAAGGATTCTGCGTTGTTGGTTATTCTTTCTTATTTTCTACACGAAACAAATTGTATTCTTCGGCCAAAGAGTTCCATTTTTAAAGTTATAATTACTTTTTTAATATTGGTTAGTAACTGTCTAGTTCCGGATACATGAATAGCAGCCCTCGTAGATGTACTTGTGCCTTATAAGGATGTATGTAAAGCAGACTTGTGTTTCTTAAAAGACCGAATCGAATCTTTTGTATTTGTTGCTATCATATTTTCAGTTACAAAGCCTTTCACTCCTCATAAAGCCTAGCCTTGAGGACCATCGACGATCGGCACCTCACATTATAACATTTAGAGATTCCTTCTTACTCTCTATGTTAATTGTATGATGGTTTGTGTTGTAAAGAATCTTTCTAAATTGAATCTACTACTCCCTGCCATCGAAACACTCGCCATCGACATGTGTTTTAATAAGAATTTTGAATAATGAATGTGTTTAAATATGAGTGAATAAGAGAATATTAAGTATAAAACTGTACAAAAGAATCGTGATGAAATTCTGGTGAGTGGATATTAATTGTACAAAAGATTTATAGAATCGATAGTGGTTATCGTTCTCCATCATCCCATTAAAAAAACGAATGATGATACTTACGTGTATAGACATAACAGGTAGATCAATATAGTTGAAGAGTTCATCGTGATATTTTACTGACATACATGTAGAGAAGAATACCATCACCTTTCTCCTGGTGTAACTCTTGAGAAATGTGAATAGAACCAACAAACGTTTTTCTGATGGAACCAAGAGGAAGCTGCAAAAAGACGTAAAAAAATTGATAAATATTTAAACCTTTTCAAATTATTTACACTATTTAGGAAAAGGTACTGTAGGAACTCGGGTACATAGCTAATTTACGAAAGTAATGCATGTGACTGTTTTATTCTCTCCATTTGAACAGCGTGCCATGCTTTTTGCAAGCGAAGGGCCTATGGTTACCGCCAATCGATCTAAACTTGTACCATTTCAAGACCGGACCATTTCATTTATAGACAACTTAAGAAAATTTAAGTGGATGTATGTAATGTCAAAATAATAGTTTTTTAGCTAAAAGCCCAAAAATGAGTTTTTAAATTTAATCTTCGAAACGGCTGACCGATTCTGATAAGATTTTACTGGCAGGAGTGTGGTGTATTGGTTTATGTTCTTCTTTCTTATATGTCCAATTATTGTTTTTATTTTTCAAGAAATGTGCCAAATGGCCTCGATTTCCGATGTTCCGATAAAAAGGAATTAGCGGCTAGCAAAATTCAAGAAGCGGGTCATGTACGACGGATTAGAAGGTTTTTATAAGTCGCTATAGAGCTTGCATCTCTGCAGATGGAGGAATAAATGTTATTTATTAAAAATAATCTTGTTTCCTTATATGTACTGCTAAAAATAACCTTGTTGCTTGTCTCCTAATAGAGTTTGGTTAGGATATATATCCTAATTAGATAAAATATCATGAAGTTATTAAGCTGAAAATAATATAATAAAATTGTTTAAAATTAGACAAGTCTTCAGATGTGCGATTTAAAAAAAACTAGCAAGAAACCCCTTAAATTGTTGGAATAGCATCAGAATGGATGAGCAAAGTAGCAAAATTAACCATTTTCACACCATTAGCAACTCTGACATGAAAATGTGATTTTCTTACAGCTTGGCACCAGGGCTACTTCAAATTAACGGGTTATCCATTACTTACGACAGACCCTGTGTATAGATTTATAGATGGATAAAGCTTACCCTTGCTGTAGAGAATCAACAGTGGCCTGTTCCTTGTGATCATCCACACCTATATACATTGGTTTAAATGGTGAAGCCAGGGCAGCCAGAGCGTCGGCTTTCTTTGTCCATGTGGCACTAAACATCATTGTCTGACGGTATTCTAAAATTATTACAAAATACGACGGTATTCTAAAATATTAATGTCAAATAATGTTGACAAATTATCAAAAATACAATATTTTGCATTTAGTGACACAGGTCAAAAGAAATGTTTTTACATACTTGGCAACAACTTGACAATCTGCTTAACTTCTTCTTCAAAACCCATTTCCAACATCCGATCAACCTCATCAATGACAAGGCATGACACACATTTATATATAAAGTCTGGTGTGTTTTGTAAATGATCTAACAACCGTCCAGGTGTTGCTACTAGAATATTTATACCTGTAGAAAAACAATGACGTTTCTGAATAAGAAAAAAAAAATGAGTCATTTTAGATGAATCATGTAATTATGGCAACTTAAACATATTTAAAAAATATGGATTGCTACTCGATTCCCATAGAATGAATTAAAGTACTCTAAATATTTAGAATGGCAGCCTGGACCTAACTTCATGCCAGTCATAGAGGTGTGATACTCCATAGATACAATCAGATCAGATATTTACAAGTCCATGCCTAAAACCTTTATACATTCATTATATATATTCTTCTGTAAAACGCCTCTTTTTACAACTTTTTATGAAGATAACAATATTTTAGAAGTACATTATCTATAAGCTGCATGTTGAGATACCAATGACGACTGAAGTTGTGCCTATTTTTTAGTTCAATCTGTAAGTACTACAAAAAAGATCTAAATATTCCATAGTAAGGAACAGTGAAAAAAATACTCTTATTATCATTGGCAATTACTTTACTAAATTGTACATATAAAATTCAGCAGCAATTTTTATAATAATAATAATTTAATAATAAATACCGTGTGGTGACTAATTAAGAATACGGAGTGTCACCATCCCGTGGGTGTCGTAAGAGCCGACTAAGGTAGTAAACTACGCAGGACAACAGCACTGCAAAGAGAAGGACAACTTGACACAAACTCTATACCAACCCGTCTAGCCAGTGTGGTGTAGTAGGCCCAAACCTCCTTTTTAAGAAGAGGTCTATGTCCAGGAGTATACTATTAAAGGTTTTTTGAACTATTAAAGCTATTGATGATGATAATGATGAAAAATAAAAAAAAGTAATTCTTGGATAACAATTAAGATGGTAAATTATTCTAGTTTATTTAACTCTGCCCTAATACCATTAGGATACCATAGTATTATTAATATATGTATCAAAAATTTTTAACTTTACCATTAAATAACTTCTTGGCCTCTGTACTTTTTTTAGCACCACCCATTACCAAGCCATATGTCTGATTATGATATTTCATCAACTGCGTTAACACTCCATATGTTTGCATGGCTAACTCTCTTGTTGGTGTCAGAATGATAGCACCAGTACCTTAAAATATATAAAAATATTTAATTACTCAACCACAGACAACAATCTATAAATAATTACACCAAATTTAAACATAGTTCAGATATCCATTCTGTGTTCATATAACAGCTGTTTCAGTTTCTTACAACTTATGATTGGCATTTAACCACAAATGTGCCTCAACAGTTTACACCGGAGACTCAATCTGTGATGAATGCTCATCACTTGTTTAGAAAGACATGAAACGCTAGTTTTCACATTCGCCTTTTATCATCATTACATTAACATATTGTATTGAGATATCAACTGATAAAGGTTAGATTTAAAACATATATTAGTTATATATTAGTCTTATAAAATGCTCTACATTCTTTGTATTAGTACTGAAACCACAGAATCGAAAATAAGTAAGTAGTTCATGTGAGCGGTTCATGTAGCACATGCTAATATTTTCAGATTAGCATATTTACTTTACTTACAAATTACTATGTAAATTAAGAGTAAATAGCATTTCATAATGCTATTTAATCTTTTTTCATACCAATCTACTAAAACAATTATACATGGAGTATGATAGAACTATATTGGAACTTTAACACAATGAACTACATTGTCTACAGAAATATTGCTACACATTTTAACAACTATGTGTTGTTGTATTTAGTAGAATTATTTAAAAATGGTGTGCAATTAGCAGTACATGACTCAAACTTAATATATAGGGAGGGACTTCTGTCTATATATTTTAAAAATTATATACATAAATTAATAATTTCTGTGATATACAGTGGGCTATTTAGTTTTCAAACTTTAACTTACCATTTCTTGCTTTATATTCAACTCTGTGAATCAATTCAATGACTGGAATCAGAAAAGCCAAAGTTTTTCCTGATCCAGTTTTAGCTGATGCCACAAGGCTTTTGTCCGCAAGCAGTTGTGGGATTGCTTTTGCCTGAATTTCTGTCATGGTGGTAAATCCCGAGTCTTTTATACCCTTCAAAGTTAATTCAGAGACCTTGCCTTCTAATGATGAAAAACTTTGATCGGATAGATTCTCAAGACATAAGCTAGGACCAGGTACTGAAATATAATTTTTTTAAGTTCTATAATAATCTCAATAATATCATTAGGCCATTTCAGTTAAAGCTACACTATTAGTCAACAACCTGCAGAAGACAATTATTGGCTTTTTTGCTGGTGGATAGGGTGTTAATCGTATGGTGGGATCATAGGAAAGAACATAGTTCTGAGTTGAGGCTTCCTGATCAATATTGCTATTTTAATATGCATTTGATTATTTAATTAGTCTAATTTGTCTTGTACAGGTAGCCTCAAAAAGGACTATATATGAACAAAATTCTCAACAACAACCATCGGGTCACAGACCACCGGGTATGATCATTTCACCTGGTCAGAAGTCCTTCCTTTGCGTCAAAGGGACATGATATACTTCTACTTCATAAAAAACATGTTATCAAAAAAATAAGTTGACCAATCAGTCTTGATACTTACACTGACTTTCATTGACATTGGTCTTAGAATAATTTTCCAATTCATTGCTTTCGTTTTCAGACCCATTTTCTGAATTGTCACTTTCTTCTTTCAATGGTTGTGGTTCAGCCTTCACTTCCTGTGTAAATTTCTTCTTTTTCTCTATAAAATAGGTACCATTATTATTTAATAACCCTTTCATGATGTACTAATATACACATTGCACTGCCCATGGTCTCAGCCTGACTGACCACTCAAGATCACCTGTGACCACGGCCAGTGCAATCTGCTTGAAATGTTGGGAGTTTCAAAGATATGTCACATCACATCATCATCACATCAGCAGCTTTTAATAGTTCACTGCTAGACATAGGCCTCTCCTTAGAAAGGGGGTTTTGGCCTACTATACCACGCTGGCCAGATGGGTTGGTATAGGGTTTGTGTCAAGTTATCCTTCTTTTTGCAGTGCTGCTTTCCTGCGTTGTTTTGCGCCCTTAGTCGGCTCTTACGACACCCGCGGGATGAATTGGGGTAGTGACATTCTGTATTCTTAATCCGTCACTACACGGATTAAACGGAAAGATATGTACTTAATACCTATCATGAGTGTGTTAATTCCCATAAACATAATTACAGATTATGACAGTTTAAAATTATTAACTTTTTTTAATTATTTAAATATGGTATACATGGTATTTATAATCCGTGTAGTGACGGATTAAGAATACAGAGTGTCACCACTCCCGTTGGTGTAGGGAAAGGAAGCCAAGTAGGCAGGATAACAGCACTGCAAAGAGTATAAATAAATATAGAATTAAATGTGTTCTAAAGATAAATAAAAATATGTACCTAACCAATAGAGGTAGTGTTACCTGGTTCCTCGTGAGAAACTTCGTTTGCTTTTTTGTTTATCAAATACAATTTCCTTTTCTCACGTTTTTTTATTTTTCGCATAAGGATCTGTTCTGGCGTAAGCATTTTTAATACTTTCTTGAAGCAAGTAGGCAAGTGGCTATACAAACAAAGTAAACAAACGAGTGGCGTACAAACTACACGCAGCACTGGACACAGAACACATATACTCCTAGCAGCACTGGATCACACCACTTTCGCACTAACAAATTAACAATACGAGCACGAGCACTTCGAGCACTTTCATTTACAATACTTAAAATACAATGGTATAATCGGGTCCTATGGTCATTTGGTCGATAAGTCGATAATAATATGGTCATTGGTCAATGGCATGGCCGGTTAGAGCACACTGCACAGATAACTTATGGTCAGAGTAGTCAGAGGTTAGGTTAGTAGTTGCAAGTAGTTGTGGTTAGTTAAGTTTATGGTTAAGTTAGTAAATTGTTGCCAGTCGGTTACGGCCGCTACCATAGATAAACCAGAGATTAAACCAATATATAAAACTCACATTCTCACTCTACTATATAATGTTTTATTTAATCCTGCAACTCCCATTACTCCTATCTACTTAAAGAAACAATTCTCATTTATCCATGACACACATACACGATACTTGAGACCATCGGAAGATCTGATGCTACAAATTCCAACACGCTCTACAACCTTTACTAATATATCTTTCACAGCACTGGCAGCCTATGGAATTTCTTACCGGCAGCTATAAGGTGGGCTATAATCTATATGGCCAGTGAGTACTTTTAAGAAACTCATCAAGAATCACTACTTTTCCCTGTAAGAACTATGTGTTATGTAGATATGTGGATGAATATGTATATTTATATGAATATATATAATTCTATGAATATGTAACTATCTGATGTTCTTCTCATAAATAAATGTATTTTGTAAATGCACACTACAAACTACATTTTACTATACAGTAGGTATAGTCCATCTAAAGGTTGTATAACTGTACCACTATTTTTTTTGGTTGTATTCCACATTATATGTTTCCTATCCATGGTGTGCAATAAGAGTACCTGTGTACCTATCCATATATCGCTAAAAGGCATTGAAGGGAATCTGCGAGTAAAACGTAAGCGTCGCCACTCAAAGCGAACTCTGTTGACGTACTGTCACAGATGAGGTAAAGACAATCCGCAAGACGTGGAATGAGACAGTGTTTAGTAAAGTATAATACTCGTAAAAAAACTACAAAGAAAAACTAACTGTTTTCTATAAGTAACTTTTTATCAATTTCTACATTTCCTTAGGGAAGTGAATAATACCTGATCGAGGCCTCGATGCCGATGCGAGTGCCTCCTACCGTGAGGCTAGATCTCTCAGGCGGCTTCCTCCGAAGCCCGTGGAAGAACAGGGCCTCGGAGTTGTGCAGAGCCACCTCGAGACCCAGCCGCCGGATTCGCTCAACGACTTGGGCAACCTCGGCCGTGCCCCTCAGGGTTGCCTCGTGGTGCGTCTTGCCGCGCGCCGTCACGAGTGTGTCGTCCGCGTAGCACACGACGGCGACAGCATCCAAGAAGGCACCACGAAGCACCCAGTCGTAGCCGATGTTCCACAAGAGTGGCCCTAACACCGACCCCTGTGGAACACCGCACGACATTCACGCCTATATTCCAGGTTCCCTAATGATCCGAGATTAAGTGCCATAACGAAGAACTCTTATAACCTTATAATACTTATACCTTACCACGATACATACAAGAAACAGTGTCATTTGCTCAAATCATTCTAGGACCTCTGACTTTTAAGTGTTGGCGAACAATTGAAGGATGTCAAATTCTTAATGAAAAAGCTGACAGAAATGTATTCGACATATTTATACCATTTTTTCCAGTTTAAAAACCAATGTCACTTAAAACTATTAGTAATATCAATGATGATTGTTGTATTAATAAATAAAGTTCTATCTATATTAGTATCCATTCTTACATCGTGTTTTAAACCTGATTTCCATAACCGACTTCTCGAATTTATCGATATTGTTATTACAACCACAGTTGTTTGGCATCATGTCAATAATAATATTAATATTGTACCACATTCACACAACGCCATCTAGTCCCAAACTAAGCAGAGCTTGTACTATGGGTACTAGACAACTGATATAATACAATACTTTTTTTTTGTAAATACATACTTATTATGCAACCCAGACCAAATCAAACATTAAATGTTTATGCTGTGTGCAATGTTTGACTTGAGCGGTAATCGAAATCGCGACCTTTGGAATAGCAGTCGGTTACACAAACCGCTACGCCATTCGGTCGTCGTCGTCGCCAATGTAGTGCGTCAATTCAATACACAATATATTTGAAATTGTTAATGTGTTGTTTTAATTGTTGTGTGAGTGACAGAAAATTGATTTTGTATAAGAGTCCGAGGTTGGGTGCCTGGTGAAGATTCCCCAATGCAAAAAAAAACGACTGTGCTTTAGACCACACGACTGAAGTGAAACTTCTTTAAAGAAATGAGCGAAAGAAAATGTGTGCTCCACTTCTCTCTCTTGCTCCTACAGTAATATAAGTAACGCAACTCTCTCTCTATCTATCTTCACTAACTTATATCTCTTTTCGTAACGCAATGGCTACTCCCCTCCGGTCCGCCGGTGGCCTGTGTTGCTTTATGAAATGTTGTGTTCTCCTTGTCCAGTTTAGTAGATTTTCGGAGTTCATCACTACCAGCGGTAGCTTAGTTGCTTTCACAGTGCTCACACTCGTCAGTTTTGTTTTTTGTTAAATGTCAACGTCAATCTCGACTAGAAAACCTCAAACTCAATACACGAAAATATGAAAATTGGAGTGCGATATATTGTGCTTTGAAAATTAATTTTACTGGGGTTTGCATATTCTTTAAACTTAGAGATACTGTGTGGATTAGGTTACCTATTTTATTTATTGCTTTGAGGGTTGAATTGTGAATAAATGATAAAGATATTAACGTAAAATAACTGTATAAAGTTGGAAATCCAGTGTTTACTATAGTATTTAAAAGAAAGTTGTTATATTTGTAAAGTCGTAAAGTTACTTTTGAAATGGATAATTTGGAAGACGATACCAATCCTAGGACAAAGTTCAAAACTTTAAAGGATAAAGTTTCTTCAGCTACATTGGAAGCCATCAAGGATATGGGATTTAAGAAAATGACTGATATCCAAGCAGAAGTATTGCCTGAGGCGTTAGACGGCTTTGACGTAGTTGCTACAGCGAAAACAGGTTCTGGTAAAACCCTGGCTTTTCTAATACCATCTGTTGAAGTTGTTATAAAATGTTTGGGAAAACACATGGCAGGTAAGTCTTTAATTAATCATTGTTTCTATGATAATCATCATTATCAACAACCTTTACTAGTCTATGCTGGCCAGATAGATTGGTATAGGTTTTGTTAAAAGATTTCCTGCTCTTGGTAGCCCCTATCTTATTTTTTAAAGACAACTCTGGCGCTAGGAATAAATCGTCTGTTGCGGGGGACTTGACAAACATAAATGAAATGGACACAATCAATACCCAGCTTCAGAACAACAATTTGTGGATCACACAGTGTTGTTGCATATGGGGATCAAACCCGTAACACTCAGCGCAATAGGAAGTGGCGAGGTGACCGCCTAAATCACTACTCCATTGGTGCAGTCTACATATGACTGTGTAGGTTGCTCCCTTAGTTGACTCTTATGACACCCACAGGATGAACAGGGGTGGTGACACTCCATATTCTTATTCCGCTACTATACGGATAGTGATAATAGAAGGCCCTAAAGAAAAGCTTGAAAAAAAATTTTCTTATTGTACTTCATTAAATATTGTATCCATCAAATACATATTTCTTTGAGTATTGTGGGTTCGATCCCCATATGGAACAACACTTTGTGTGATCCACAAATTGTTGTTCTGAATCTGGTTGTTCTTTGAGTCGTGTTCCTTTAAGTCTGTCTAGTCTACTGTGACACATGATATATCATAGTGCGGCAACAACTCCAGAATAAGTCAAAAAAATTAAGACAATGTTATTTTCAAAATAGAAATATTTTGTCTTAAATTATTGTAATTATTTAGAATTGTATTATATACTGTCTTCAATTATTCAACAAGTTTTAACTGCATTTTTTTATAGTTACAAATTTGTGGATAATTGTTTTAAATATAAATTAAGACTTCAGCCATACCATGTACAACCAGTGCAAAGTCTATAATCCGTGATTACTCCTATCAACTTAAGTATTGTAGAGTAATGCTACAAAAAACAGAAGATTCACAATTCTTTGACAGAATTTTATGATATAAAGATTTTATAAATTTCAGGTACATTTAGTATAATAGTTTCACCTACAAGAGAATTAGCAATTCAGACTTACACTGTGCTTCAAGATTTAATTGCACATTATGATAATATAACATCTGCTCTCATCATTGGTGGAGAAAGTAGAAAGAAGCAGAGTGCAGAATTAAGTTCTGGTCTGTAAATAACATAGATTAAATAGATTAATTTAGTTTATAGATAAGTTACAACCTAGTAATGAAACTAAAATAACCAACCTTGTGATGAAAGGACTCGAGGCTTATAAACCTTTATAGTTAAGACTAGCCTCGATTTTGAAAACTACTTAGTAATGGTGAATTATGCGTTTGTATTTTCGTGTGTTGCGGCGTAGCCCTGTAACAGTTAAATGTACATTAATTAAATGTTCTTTTCAATTAATTGTTTGTAACAATCAATAGATTAAATGTAACACAAATATATCTTGTTAAAAAAGCGATTGTTTGTGGCCGGCAAGCACCGTATACGTTGCAGCCCGCCCATGTGTATCATACAGGTAGGATGCTTAGAATGTTCTAAAATATAAACTTAAAATGTATAATAAAATAATATTTAAAAGATATGTCTATGAATTACGAAATCGACAGTGGCCGGACTGCGCCGCAACACACGTAGTATCCATGATACTGCACTAAATATCTGCAGTAAATATCTAAATTTAAAATCATAAATTCAAATAAATCAATATTTTTTTGTCACTGTATTTTTAAAAGATAATTCATTTGTAAAATTATGTTTTTTACCATCAGTTTTTGTATAACTTCCACATGGTCCGTTTCTTCTGCCTGGATCATTTAATTTATAATATATATTTGTAACAAAAGTGACAATCCCATCCTCTGTCTTAACCGGTAATGATAGATAATTTTGTATTTAGTCATCAAAAACAGAACATACCAAATTGTATGTATCGAAAAAGGTTTGAAATTTTTTCAAATGGGGCTCCAAACTTTTCATTGCTCTTGAGTCGTTTAAAAAGCCGCTCCTTTGCCCCAATACCTTAAAAAATACTATACTTTCATCATATTCTGTTCAATGATTCTGAAGAAACATCAGCAACTTACACTCATTAAAATACTGTTCCCGTGGTTTGTAGGAGTCCACATTGTTGTTGCTACTCCTGGAAGACTCTTTGATCATATGAGAACAAAAGAATTTGACTATAGTAAGACTTGTTGTTTAGTGTTGGATGAAGCAGATAAGATTTTCCAGTATGGATTTGAAGAAGACTTGAAGCAAATTATTAGTCGTTTACCAAGTATGTACTAATAAAATTTATTTTATTTTAAGGAACACAAACAATGTATTCTACAATAATGTCTTAAAAATGAAATACAACATACAAAAATTATATGTCCACAGCTTTTGCCATTTTATGCTTACTACCTTGAGAGATAAAACAATTTATATCATTGATAACTTTTAACACCTTAAGGTTACACTTCTAAGGTTAACCAAACTCTTTAAGCGCATGTTCACATAAACAGTTCTTTTTAATTTAAAAATAAAACAGTATGAAACTACTTATTTCATACCAAAAATTAATCAAAATTGAAAGAAATTTCAGTTCTGATCAGATTATGCATATACTAGTAACTAAAACTGGTAATTTATAACATTTACTTTTCTAGTATCAAGTTATGCTATCCTTAAATAATCTTTTATTAAATTGTTTTGTTTTTGTGCAAGAGGACAGACAGACTATGTTGTTCAGTGCAACACTATCCGAGAGAACTGAAGCCTTGATCAAATCAGCCATGAAGGAAAAGGTTCACAATATAAATACTGATGAAGATAATCTAATAGCTACAGTTGAAGGTTTAAAACAGGGGTAAGTCTAACCTATTTATAACAATATAGTAACAGCTAATGATTTCATTTTGCACTTCTCAGTTTATGTGGTATAGAAGGTTAGTAGTTCTGCCAATGTGTGGTGATCAGCAAGAACTTTTTTATTTGCATCAGGATTGACTCAAGACAATATTATATTTTATCAATTATTTTATTTATTGCTATATTAGGAATTATTTTACACTCTTTTTTAGACAGACCTTAGGTACATATATGTATCATCAAACATAGGTAGTTTGTACCCCTAAAAAATGGTATATATTGACCGCGTCTATAGAGACTCCTAATCTTCTATGTGTATACCAGATGTGTGTCTATTTGGGTAGCTTTAAAATATTCTTTTAATTTATCATCTGTTTAGTGAATTCTTGTGTGCTTAACATTGTTGCTTCATATCTCTGTATGTGATGTCTAATGGTGAAGTGATTACATTTCACAGTATTATTAACAGGTGATATATGTTCATCACGTATCTGCTTGCTTATTATTTGGTTTGTATTATAGATATGCTGTTTGTGAAACTGAATACAGATTGTGGTGGCTGCACAAGTTAATGAAGAAAACAAAAAATTATAAAGTTATGGTGTTTTTCTCTAGCTGTAAATCAGTTGAATTTCATCATGAATTCTTCAGCAAGTATTGTCAAGAATCAGTGTTGTGTATACACGTAAGTAATATTGTGCCATAGAAGAGGTAAAGGTGAAAGTGTTAGATGGTGACATATATTTCATTGAGTAGCTAAACTTCGGTACCTAACCAGTACTGTCCATCATGACTGTTATCTTTATGGGCATGTAAATCGATATAATATTAGGCTATTTGATAAAAAATTACATTCACGGAAGTTTTTATATATTCTAGGGGAAGATGAGCCAAGCAGATAGAACTGACGTTATATCAAATTTCTATAATGCAGAAAACGTGACGTTGTTTTGTACCGACCTTGCAGCTAGAGGATTAGATATACCTTCAGTGGATTGGATAGTACAATTTGATCCACCGTCAGATGCTAATGTAAGTATTTGTCTAAGTAAGACAGTTTATAAGAAATATAATAGTTGCGCCCCGTGGCGTTCACTACATTTTTTTAGATAGTAAAAATCCTACTTAAAAAATGGTCAACCTGCTTCAAACAATACTAACAAAGAGCACTTAAAACCTTGCAGCAATCGCGGTTGATTTGCTATCAGTTTTTGCAGAGTTTCGTCGTCTGTCTCCGAAACTCGTAATCAGATCTATATGAAATTTAAATGAGACCATTTCAAAATAAAAATATATATAAATATCTGAATTGATTACCTCCTTCTTTTTGAAGTCGGTTAAAAAGAAGCCTATGTGTTAATCTAGTTAATTATATATCAATCAAGATTAAGCAACACGTTTAAGTAATATGTTTCATACTACTAGGCGCAGTCGGCGCCTGAAATTTATGCGCTCACGATAGATATTCAGTACATACCTTTGAAAATTGTCTGACGATTCGACCAGATTGCACTGACAGTAGGCACAGGCTGATTGTTAGTCATCAGTCAGACAACTTTTTTTCCTCTTTATTTATTGAGCTATGATAGATTTGACAATGCCGCTCAATTATAAAAACAACAAAATAAACGAATAAGTTGACACTAAATATAAACTTAAAAGAGATCATCACTAAGTGTATATACTCGTACGAGTACTTTGTGTGAACTTTAATAAGTATACAATAGTCAGACTAGCCCGAACGCGTTAATTCCCGTTAACATAGTTACATATTCTGGAACGCTTTTCTATTTTTCATACGTTTATACTTTAAATTAATAACTTTATGTTTCAGGAATACATTCACAGAGTAGGGAGGACTGCAAGAGGAATGGGCGCCGAAGGAAACGCTGTAATGCTTTTGCGGCCTGACGAGATAGATTTCGTTAATTATTTGAAGGAATCCAAAATATATTTAGATAAATATGAATCTTGGAATAAATTAGCAAATTTACAGCCAAAGGTATTAAGGTATTTTGATTTTACTGCAACACACATGTGCAACTTTAAATTCAAACTTGTAATATGAGATTATACAAGACAACTCAGTGGTTTATTGTTATGTATGCATGTACAACTAGTTTTTGCCCTCGTGTATGTAGGTTATCGCGGTAAATATATTACTCGCTGGTAATGTAGCTTTCCATTGGTAAAAGAATGATTAACATCGGTTTAGGTAAGCCTGAAAGCGTAACAAACAAAAAAAAGTGTGTGTGCAATTCACACACGTCAGTAGTTAAACTGCTGAAAAGAATATTTTCTATACAAATAAAGAAAATTGAAGTTGCTGTGTGTAATGTCAAAATTATAGTTTTTTTTCATGCTCACACTTTTATTTACACGATACCTATGCCTAAAAAATATTTTGTGTCTGTGTTTTTCCGGGTAATCTTCTATACGGCTGGACCGAATTTGATAATATTTTACTACCAGGTAGTGGTCTATATATGGAGTAACTTAGGCTATTTTTCTTTTTTTATTATTGCAGAAAAACCATATCAAATTTTGCCCGGCCCGAGAATCGAACCCATTAAGACAGCGTTTTTCAAATTCCACGCGAACGAAGTCGCGGGTACCAGCTAGTATTAAAAAAAGATAAAAATATTTACACTCAAAATATTATATTAACAAAAATAAAAAATGGAGAACCTCCTCCTTTTTGAAGTCGGTTAAAAATAATGTATAATGTATTCTATCACTCTCTTAATCCTAATATTTATGCGGTTGTTTCTTTATCGTGGCGCATATTCGTTTAATGGAGTTTCAAATCACAACAATTCTAGAGAAGTTTCACTTCAAACATTCACTTTCACATTTATAAGTATACGTATCGCACGTATACGTATTAAGTGAATTATAAGTATCTTAATAGGTATATACGCCAGTCAGAGGGATAGAGGAAACCAAATTATGCTAATAACTAAATGTAATTAAAATTGAATATTACAATTTATATAAGTATGGTCTAGACCCGGACAATATTAGTACCGAAGTGACTTCACATAGATACAGGGCAAACGGTTCAATCACGTTCTTGTGTCAGCACTTATGTGATGGCGTGATCGAGGACGACACAGGGTGCCGATTCAGCAGTTGACTCTTTCTAGATATTCTTTTTTTCCATATAGTAAAATATATGGAAAGGAGAAATTGTATCACGACACTACTACGTAGATTCCGTGTTGGCAGAGCTTGTAATTCATTCGGTGTAGGCAGAGCTCGTAATTTATATGAGAATTACCAGTATCACATAACAGATACTACTTACGTATCTTTAAATTGCCTGACAACTCCACCCGGTTGCGCTAGCCATGTTCACAGGCCAGCGGTCAGCCTAGACGTTGTCAACATTATAAAGGTGCTCCATTTCTGAGCTCCTTGAAATACCTGAATTGATAAACAATACCAACATTGCATGAGCGAAATGCTGTGGCCCACAGCCTGTGGGTATAAGTTAAAGTAATATATATCTAAAATGTTTTTTGTTACATGTTACGAACAACAAGCTTTTAGCATACGCAAAAGTTAATTATTTTAGTAGTAATTAGTAGCAGAAAAAGCAGGAGCATTAGAGTGAACATTATTTTCCAGACGGATATTCCTCCAGTTCAGGCTGAAATGTAAAAATTGCTTTAGTAGTTATGTAGTTAGTAAAATGTAGTACTTACATAATTTATTGCACCTGTTATATATGATTTAAATATGATTTTATTTTTCAGTTGGACGCTGCCATGTCAAATCCCCACTTTCAGCAGTTAGCTGTAGAAGCCTTCCAAGGTTACATGAGAGCTTTTGAAGTGAAAAAGTTAAAGCACATCTTCAATTTAATTTCAATGGATGTAGATGCGGTGGCCAGATCATTCGGATTAAAAAATAGGCCTGATGTCGATATCCGTATGTATTTTTGAAATTCGATTTATTTAGGTAAAAATTATAGTGTAAAATAGCGTTTGACATGTGTGTTTTCTGAAGTTTTGTAAGAAGAGTTTTTTGTCATAGTCAATGGGATTCCGAAGGTTCTGATTTCAGCGAAAAAAGTTAGCATTAGAACCGTTATTTTTATCCTTTTCGAGTTTTTAATCATACTAACTGTACTTAAAACTGTATTGTAATGAAAACTTTCCGATTACAACATCCCGTGCGTGTTTATGAAATAAAGTAAATAGCAGTTCTATTGTCTAGAGAGGCGTGTGCATTTGGATCTCAGGCCCATCTCATCATAAATCTTTGCGAAGATAGCTTGTATGAGGGTACATGTGATCAGTCCAGAAAAATAAAATCTACCCTACAGGATTTTCGCCTATAAAAATAGAAAATCAATTTTCTCTTAACGTATGGCATTTAGAACGAAATGTTACATTTTAATAAAAAAATTGTAAATAAACTTATTTTAATTTTCGTTAATCTAAGGGGTTCGTTAATCTTGGTCAATAAAGCCGAAAACATTCAGCTAGTCAAATTCGACTTTTATTTACTTTTTTTAACAACTAACTTTTGTAAAATACCCCATTTAAGTAAAATATATTAAAATCGTATTTATGTATTCCTTAAGATAAATTCATGTTTTGCAGATTCCTCAGTAAAGACATTCATGAATCGAGAGACCTAGAAATACCGCGCCATAAATCTGTTATGTTATATTCTACATATTTTGTGATTTCTTAAAATCTTACCAAATTCTTAAATTAAAATTATTGACCCGATAATAGTACTTTCTATGATTTAGGCTATGCCTTTATATGCACGCGTCTTGATTACGGGTCCAAATAATCCCAACAGTTTTCATTCTTGTTTAAGAAATTCATGGCCCTTTGCTCTTTTCTATTTTCCATAAAATCTTATTTCGTTTCGAAAAGATTTAAAAAATGGGCCCCCGATCCAGATGCACACTAGAGGCTAGCCACCGGTGCTCTATCCAGGCCAGTATTGGTCACTATTATTGCTGACAAAGTTGTATTGGGTAATTTGGATCAAGTGCTAATTTAAAAAGGTTCGATCCGCTACTTTAGGTAGTTCTAGTTCCTAATAAAAATTTAGCCTTAGAACGCTTATTTTTATACTTTTTGTTTGCGGTTTAAATCATATTAACTGTATTTAGTGCAAACTTTTCGATTACAACATCCCGTGCGTTGAAGTGATTGAAATAAAGTATTTTACATAGCAGTTCTATTGTCTAGAGAGGCTAGCCACCAGCGTCCAATCCAGGCTAGTATTTGTCACTATTAATGCTGACAAAAGTTGTTTTTGGAGAAAGCTAACTCGAAGCACTTTTGCCACTGTGCTTTCTCTGCCAAGCAAACTGACGCAAAGAAAAATTGCTTAGCGATTGGGCTGTCCTTAAAGCTGACACAGATTATACCTCAGATCATACAGATTTTATGTCAATTTGTTGGTTATGGTATTACTTACTTATCGTGTGGCAACACTTTACACGGTTTTGGTCCAGTGCTCGGCGATGCGAATGGCGTTTGGCCCTTGCTTGATACAGGTCGACAAGCGTCCACAATTCCGGGCTTGCGGAGCATGTTAGCAAGTGCCCATGGTATTTAGACATTACTTTTATTTCAGTTACATGTTATTCATTATTATTATATTAAACATCATAGATTCAAATTAATACAACATTTTATTCCAGGTATTGGGTTCAGTAAAAAACATAGGCCAAGAAAACGAATGGCAGCTATGCTTGCTGAAAAGTCTACTGGAGAAAAGCGTTTTAAATAGACAAATAGAGGCAGAAAATACAAGAAATTTTAATGACACGATGGGTACTATTAATACATAAGTTTATTTTATATCTTTAACATTGACCAGCTACAATGTATTTAGAAATATCAGTCAAAGTTAAATAAAACATGAATATTGTAAATAGGCATTTTATATTATATATTCCTTATCTAAGGGCAAAATTATGATACTTTATTACATGAACATCATATTCTATTTTTTGACTAGATGAGCCTGAAAACTTTTACGTATAAAACCATTTTGAATTTATTATATACACACAAAATATAAGCGCCAAATAATTATTAAAAGAAATGTAGGAACTTTTAGAAACCATCAAGGTTCACCAATGAAGAACAGTTCTAACTCTGCAGCATTACCAAAATCAAAATTCAACTCTGTAAATAAAACATTTTCTGTTTTCCGCCAATTTTTACAAGGTTATATCATATCAACGTTATTTTAGTGAATACATTTTTGGTTTGTGTGAGTTTATAACTCTATACAGCAGGGTTAGATAGTTCATCTTTTGTATTTGAGATTTAATTATATTAATAATACTATGTACATGAGACAGTTCTATTTTGGCGAAACATTCATTTCGTAAATATTATTTCTTGATAGCTTTTCAAAACAATCTTCATGGTTGTGTTGATGATTAATAGCATAAATCATAGAGTCTATGGTTTCCACAGTAGCTGGACATCGATTTAGTGAAAAATACTGTACACATCTCCATGATGTTTTCCCATGTGTTGTTGAATGTTTTGTATAAACAAAGTTCATGTGCACTAGTTGTTTGTGACCTTTCCTACTATAAATATATTTGTACCGCACAGGTAACTGCTGATTTTCATAGGAACCATTTACAACTAGAGAAAGAGCACCTGTAAAAAAGATTTGTGTTAGTATATTGAAAATTTATTTATTCTCAATGACATGCAAAATCAAATCAATTTCAAATATTTGATAAGATTGTAATATTATGCAAAATGATTATAATAAGGCTTATTCCAGGAGATTATGAGCAAGAGTTATTTCTAATGGACTACACGCTTTGGTAGGGATCGAGCTGTGGGAGAGCACGGATTATACTTTTTATCCACGAGTCGAATCGCTGGTCAGTTAATACAACGCTATCATGATTGATACTGCAATATGTTCGCAGTTCTAGGCGTCATTCATATCTCGGCTGTACAATTTCTTTAGTAACGGACACGCGACACATTTTACAGAAGCGCAAACTAGTCGGTCACTTCGAGAGCTTGTCTCGTCGAGAGTAATTGCTAATTCGATACTAAATATCGGATCTTCTGGGGTTTACAAGGTCAAAATTTTAGACCCGTTTTTCGTTCAAGTGTCGCTTACTATGTTTTGAAATTGCATAGCCTAACAGTTAAACCATAAATAGGATCTGAGTATAACCGCTCACATGTTATAGGCCGTTTATACGTATGGCAAGCCTCGAAAAGTATCCTCAAACACAAGCGTGTAAACGGGGCGTATGCTTGTCGTCGATTGGTACTAGTGTCGGTTTTTGAACACAGATCAAAGGAAGCTCGCAGCAAGCGTTTGCGACGAAGCGAAGCGTATTTAAACGTTGGCGCGTGCTTGTTACCTACTGCTCAATAAAATTAAACCACAACTTTAAATGTGTGTGCGAATTATGATACAGGGGGCTAGAAAGATTTTTTTATATCAACTCGATCGTCGACGGCTACTGAGTTCGCACAAACTCTCGCCCCCCTGAGCACTTTATAAAAGTGTAAGAAAAATAATTAACTTCAATTGTTGCATATAATTGTTGTTTAATCAAATAGCGCTATAAAAATACACTGGCTTACAATAAATCATTTAAAAACACACTGTTAAGTAACATCACACATAAAAATGCACAACAACAAAGCACTTGATCTCCAATTTAAAAAATTAAAAAGTATTTCATGCAAAAGCCTTAAGTATGTATTATATAAAATCACGAATAAAAAAACATAAGGAATGTAATCTCAATTTCGTTCACAGTACAAAATATAATAAAACTGCTCTTACAGAGATCATTTTGAATAATATACATTTCTTGTCGAAATCTTGTTTTTAGACTAGTCTAAAATACGACAGAAACGTTTGCTGGATATCTTAATTAGTACAATAAATAGACTAGAATATGAGCAATAAAGTCTTTATAAAATTTTATGGCGCTATGCAATGGCACTAATCAAATTAGAGTGAAATTAGCTTTTGATCTATATAAAAATAGTTTTTCTTTTAAACAATAATTGGCACATGAGAGTTGTCTCACTATCACAGTTGATTTTTATAAATTATTGTGCTTTCTGATCTTTATTACTCCCATATGTAACTGGTACTTATCTGTAACTTACACTATAATATATGTATCTTCTTATAGGTTTTTAATTCTTACAATCATCCAGTGTTTATAGATTTGGTCCCAAATCTTTTGAATCTATGATTCAGTTGTGTCGTTAAGATAATAAATAAAATAATTTCGCAGCAGTATACCTTTTGAATAGTAATTGATGAACTGAATGTTTCCTCTTTAGAGGATAAAGTTATGGATTTATCCCCAGTAGTTCCATGAATCCAGTTCCACATGTTCCAACCTTTAAGTATCTTTTACAGCTTACCTTAATTAAACAACACAAAGGAAAGTCTAGAAGAACTACTGAATGTCAGAAAAACAAATGACTATCTATACCTATATATTATATATATATATATATATATAATAAAACAGTAAGATGTGATCTTGTACACTGAAAATAAAGAATAAAAAAGTACAGGGGGGGGGAAGAGGGGTCTTCATTGATGCAATAGATGCCAAAACGATGATTTTTAATTGTCTTGTCTGTGTGTTTTTCGCGATTAACGTAACAATTGAAGTTTGTATGATTAATTCGGTATTCTTACTGCTATGGATATGAATCATTCTTTAAAATATATTTTTCTGTAGTTCAAGAAAACAAGGAAAAAGGTTTCACACCTTATAATACAACAATCCAGGTTGCAGCTGACTTCATGGAACTTCTAGGTATAATGTTCTACTTCAAATAGTTGCTAAAGGTCCATGTGAAATTAGCTTAATGGAACTACTGGGAATAGAGCAAATTATGTACTTATAATAATGAAATGAACTTAATTTGCATAATAATCTGCTTGCAGCTGTGATACTTTGAGTATATCATTAAAATGAATTCCAAAGCAAGGTGATTTGCAGAAAGGTAATTCACAAGCACTACACATAAATCTAGTATCTCGTCGTCTTCCGATTTTCCAGCACAGGCGACATGAGCGCTGTGGGTATTTCTTTTTTCCATCTTCCTTTTGTGGGATTGTTACAAGGCGATGTTCCATTGTAGGTCTAGAGTACTCTTCGCTTGTGTTAGTTCTCAGCATGTTATTAGTCACCTTACCATTCACTAAGTTTTTAAGGTCGATCATAAATGAACTCAAACTGGTATCTGAAATCACGATGGGCATTTTCATTGTACTGTTCGTAAAAATCACAATAATATAAGATTGTTTAATGTTGAAAATGCCATCGTGTTTTCAAAATAAAGCTTTTTTGCAAAAGAAAACAGGACATATAAAATGAAAACGAATTAAATGATTGCATTTTCAACACAATCTCTAATTGTGAGACAGAATGAAATAATGAAAAGATTAGTAAGCTGAGAAAATCATATAAAATAAAGCAGTGGATAAAGCAAAATCATTTGTCACATTTGAATTGGTTTCAAAGTAATTTGACTTTTGGATTACACAAGTACAATTTACACAAAACCATTTGAGGAGCCATTCAACATAGGCAAGAAGCCTTTATTGGTGTTGCGTAAATAAGTAGAATATGTTACAACAGAGTGCTTCACGACATTGCATTAAATTAGGTTTCTTTTCTTTTACAGTGCAAATGGTTTTGAGTCAATGATCCCTTAATTGTAGATAATACTTACTGTCCTGTGGAGATGGATAGTCCATTGTGACAGATAGATCTTTGTTTCCATCTCTAGAACTTTCATAGTTTTTCAGACTTGAACAAACAGCAGGATCTGTCACTATTATATCACTGTCATCACATTCTGTTTTTAATTCTACTTCACTCTCATGCAATGTCTGGTTTTTACTTTTATCACTTAATTCTTCACTGTTAACTTTGAGTAATTGTGTGTTTAAAGTTGTTGTTATGTTTACAGGGTTTTCATCATACAAATTTTTTACATTCTCAAAGTTGTTGGTTTGAAAAATCTGACTACTCTGTTTGCATATTAACTTTTCTTTGATTTTTGGCCTCTTTTCTGGATTAATTATCTCTGTTAAGTAGTTCTTTTGTAAAAACTCATCAGATTTCCTTTTAAGATTACTGAGCCTTTGTAGTTTTTCAATAAGTTGCCTTTGTTTTTGTAATTCTATCTCATTGTGTTGATTTGATTCCTCATTGACACTAGTGTCATATATATCTGAGACACATGATTCAACTTCAAGTGTGTTGTTTTGACTGTCTGTTCTATGCTTAGCTAATTCTCTCTCATCTTTATCATCAGCTTCATCAGTCTAAAAAAAAGGTCAGTTGAATGAAGAAAACTTAACAATACATTGTTTTGAAGGTTTATGTTCAAAGATACCAGGTAACAATAATCAGAATCAAACTAAACATAGGGAGCAATATGGTGGCAGTATGCAAGGGTATGCTACAATGTATGGATAAGATGCAACACATTCTAGATTTACAGGCATTACATACTTGGATCTTTTAGATACACTTTACATTGAGTAGAGTGCACACTTTTTGTTCCATCTCAATGAATTCAGATTAAGCAAGAAGATTCCTGTTATCTCTGTATTCAGAAGAGAATACAAATTACATTCTTGTAACTTTAATACAAAAATTTTAAGTTTCAAACTTGCTACTTTTTCATATTCATTGAAATGATTTACCTTATCGTGGTTGTGCTTTAATTTAAAATACATTTATGTATTTTATTGCTATACAGGTCTATTTTTTTATAGCATAAAATATAATAGATAAGCGATACACTGACCTCTTTGTTAGTTAATCCTTTGATTTGCAATGCTTCCGCAGTGCCTATAAAACTAGTGAGATCTTCTCTCTTTACGCTAACTTCTCCATGATACATAAATTGTAACAAGTCTCTCATTGATTTGTGTGTCACATCTCTTAATACAACTGGAAAATAATTAGGTAATTTTAGAAAACGTAATCAACAAAAAGAACGTCAGTCTGATATAACAATAATTCATAATGAATGAATGAAATAAATAAATAAATAATTACCAATTGGATGTTGACATGGATTCAATTGAAACATCTTTTTGAAATATGGTGAACATATCGACAATATTACTTTATGTGCTTGTAATAGATGGCCATCAACGGCAATTGTTACATCAACAAACTCGCCATTCCCTAATAAACCGGCGAATCCTTTTGTCAGATTCCCGTGAAAATTGTTCCAGGACAATGAAAATTGCTGGTCCATTTCTAACCACTGTTTGGTTGCATCTAAAAGGTAAAATACGATTGAAAATTGCTTAAAGTACTTAAAGTTATTAAAATATCTGTACAAAATAGAATACTAACTATTTAATGCCGGATATAAGGAAATTTATTTGATAAATATTTTGTGTGAGAAGCGTGACAGCTGTACACAGCGCGTCGCATTGCGTGGTGTTGCCACTGTTCACTGCTAAATGGTATTCACGGCCAAAAGCCTACACACTTAACAATTAGTCATATAAATTGTTATCGACTATTATCCCTCACAAGGATTTAATAGTAGTTCTACATTAAATTTATTGTCTCCATCCCGATATTAAAACAGCTTTATTGGAGCTAACCAAGCCTCATAGAAATGAGCTAATGATTGTTTGGCACTTGGTCTTTTAATACCTTTGAGTTTCTTACTAGTATGTATAGTAGGTAAACGTGTTTGATGCACTACACGTTTTTAGGATCCTCGTGTAGCCATCCTGGAATACTTGTAATTCGTCTTAGATCTAGAACAAATAACAGATATTAAAGACTAAGCTATCTAAGCAAAACGGCGGCAATAAATTAAAATTGTGAAATGATATCCTTACAATCTATTTACAATGTTGAATCAAAAAGTTCTTAGAAGCGTATATTTAAAGATAATTTAGGGAGTAGTTTCATATTTAATTTTAAAAGTGACAGTCTGACATTCACACAATTTTAATTATATTTCATCATACGGTTTACAAGTAATAAATTATTTTGTATAATAAGTAGTTAAAAACACTAATATATGGAGAAGAACAAATTGCGTGCAGTGATAAGTATCTGTGCCTGAAAACAATTTTTTTAAGACATCAGTTGATAGTGATAGTGAGATAGAGGATAGTGATTTACCCTATTCTGCAGTCGTTTACTGTGTTGCTGAATTAAAGATGTAGATCAAGTTGAGAATATGTAAAATGATCATATCCGTGAAACTAAATTTGAGGATGATGACGCAGTTATGGCTGCCGTAGATAAGTTTTTCGAGTGTCAAGAAAATGATGTTATTGAAGAAAGGAATAAGAAAGTTATAGAAGCGGGAATCTGAATGCATTAGAAGGAGATTACGTAGAAACATAAAATATATTGCTTTGAATATTTTCTCATATTACTCGTATTATAGTAATTCCCAGAACTTTTTAATTCCTGCACGTATATTGATACGCATGCATCAGTTTTGGCTTTTTTGCACAAGTTGGTTTAATTTAGAACCTTGCTAGTTCAATATCTTAACCTACATGCCTTTATGAGGTTGTATCAATTCAAACTTGTTGTTTTCATTAAGTCTAACTTGCAATATAAATAACAGTAGGTACCGAATTATGGAATCGTTTCTTTTCAACCCAGTTAAAAATGTGGTACAATTGTTACACAATTGTGTTAAAGAAAATCATCCATACTCCAGAAAGTTCGATTAACCGCTTAATTCTAGGAACCGTTTAATAATAATGCAGGTTGGCCTAGAACAATACGCTCTATAATAATATTCATAAGATCTAAAATAGATTGTCGCTAGAGTATCTTGTTTACATTCGAAACGAATTTTTATTTCTCAGAAACGGATGGTTCTCGTAGGGATTGGGATTTGCTAGAATGATGTTTTACGGGTCTTATAAATACGGACACGTCTTCTTTGGAGTTAGGTCAGTTCGAGCCACAGTGCGATAAACATCGAAGTGATTGAAGTGAATAGAAGTGTGACCCAGCGACCTCGGTGATCATTCCGGACTACGCTTGTGTATTGTGTAAACGTTTTTAAGTGTAGTGATAATAAAGTCTCTTTAGTCGTCGGAAGGCTTATTATTCCGAATCAGCGAACCCTAACACGTATCACTATTAATCATTACTTGTAACCAGAAGACCAATTCTTGTAAAAAAAAATCAAAAACGGCTCCAACCTAATAATAATATGTTACGGTTGATATTTGTCGGACATGGCACCGTCCTGGGAATCAATCGGTGAATATTTGTACTGGCATATCAAAGTAGCCAGGATCGTACACTAACAGCAATACCAACTTGTGAATCTAGAGGTTCCATACTGCAGGTACATATGTGCCCGACCCAGTTCTCGAGAATGGTCGGGCCACCTTGCATTGGGATCGATCTATTATCACAGACAGGACAGGACTGTTGTCGCCAATAAGCCTGATATTGATTGTTGATATCGCCGTTCCTCATGACGAGAATCTCGTGAGAGTTGAAAAAGCAAACAATTTAGAATATTTGGATTTATCTCACGAGATTGTCGATATATGAAATGACGATTCAGTGATCATTGTTCCTATAGTCGTATCTGTTCACGGATTGATAGCCAAGTGCCTCGACCAACACCTTAAGAGGCTCACGTTAGATGGCTGGATTAACAGTCTGATGCAGAAAGCAGTTCTCCTTGACACGGCTCGTAAGGTGAAGAGGTTCCTGTCTTTGGAGTCCTAACCACCGGTGTCTTGGTCCCTGTACCTGATGTCGGTGGTGTACTATTTTTTCTTTTATCCAATCTGCGCAAAAATGAATTAAAATTATAGAATACAACTTATTTAAGGACTTCCACATAACGACCGAAAGCCATTTGATCTCTTTAATTATATAGGTAGGTCTATCACGAACCTCATTTATTACAAGTAATCTGATGAGCGATTTCCTGTTCATACATGTCAATGCAGAATCAGGTCCTCGCTGAATAATAATATTAACTTCACACATCTCACACACGGCCGTCTGATTCCTTACTAGGTAAAGACTGTGCTATGGTAATCAGACTGCTGATAAACATACTTATATATTTCTAAATAGAAACATGTTGTGGCGACAGAAATGAAGAAACATACTACAGCGCCATCTAACGAAGACACGCCGAACTACGGAGTAACTGCTAATCCTGTATCGCGAAATGAATAATTTACTCACATGCAATCACATATATACAACTTCTCAAGATCAACCGCAGGGCCGCGGTCCGCCAGGCATAATTACCTCGCGTGGTCGGAGGATCCTCCTTTTGTGTTGGAGGGACATGACATCCGTTCCTCCATAATGTCATGGATAAATTACATCCAGGCAGAACAAATCATCGTGTACATCACACAATTATCTGTCCTGGGTGGAAATAAAAACCTACCTCGATTTGTGCTTGCTTCTTCTTCTACTTTATTTGTCTAAAAAATTCACTTGTCTTGTTTAGTAACTGAGAACTAGAACACAAAAGAAATTTGATGAACATGTTATGTTAAAAACAAATACTTACTCAAAGCTTAAAGTCAATATATTGCGTAATTAGAGAGTTTTAAAAAATGTCTAATAATTGCGTATTTCACTTTTGAAATCATTTACGCTTTAGCACCGTCTGAAAAATGGAACTTTTACTGTAACTTATTAAAAAAGGGTATTTTAGCCGAAACCCCATGAATACTGTTTATTCTCTGACCACTGAAGATTTACTACTTGCGCCATTTACAACCTTTAGAGCTTTAAACATTTAGATAAAACATCTATGGAAGTCTGAGAACACTTAAGAACTTTTAAGCTTCATGCTAGTATGCTATAAATACCTTTTCTGGTTCATACTTGCACGGGATGTACCTGTTTATAAGTAGTCAACATGAATATCCACACATCACGTTAAACTTAGTTTATAGATGACTTAGCTGTAGAAAGCATCCAGTTATTTCGTTCGGCTTCCATTAGTACAGAGCTTTGCTAAAACTTTCCATCAGTGGTCGAGGACTAGTTCAGCTAAATTAAGTTTCAACCAAACTTTTAGGAGTTTGTAGACGCAGTGGAATCCCAACGAAGATGTTAGTTACAGTGACCAAGTTTTGTTTGTTATCTATCGACGTGCGATTTCGTATGTTTTGCATCTGAGACTAACTAAGACAGAAAGTTTGTACAATCAAATACTTTCTTTGGCGGTCCCTTTCCCGGAGCTCCGCTTCCGCCTTCTTCTTTTGACCTAAGTGCGACCACTTAGGTCAAAAGAAGATTTTATATGATTTCTAACTAAAGGGAGGTATTATGTCGATAATACCTCCCTTTTAAATAAGTTTCTAAAAGCGTGTAATAGATATGACCACTTCCTAGCAAGTTCGTAGCCAGGATTTGTTTTAGGACAAAACCAGGGAAGTAAATAACATTCTACATAAAAATTAAGAACATTTTATCTGGGGAGTTTCTTTTAACAAAAGTCTAAGAATTCTGGATTAATAAAAAAAAACTTTTGATGATTTATATGAAATGCTAGGCACTTAATGTAGTATAGAAAATAATATTTTAGGTAACTTGTTCTTGTGGTGTTAAAATATGTTGATATTCACCGTACACTAACTTAGATAAATATTGCCATATCGTTCCCTTTGTCATATTTTTATAAGAAATCTAATTTTTAGTTCCTTCACACAAAGTTGTAGCGGACTTCGTAGTAAAATAGTTTTATAATTTACATTAAATGTATAGATCATGATAATATTAATAATGATTTTTTTTAACCGACTTCAAAAACACAAAAAAGGAGGTTATCAATTGGTCAGTTTTTTTTTTTGTTTGTTTTGCATGTTTGTTAAGCGATATCTCCGTCAGTTGTACACCGATTTTCAAAATTCTTTTTGTAATCGAAAGGGTATCCTCCCGAGATGGTCCCCTTATATCTTTTATTTATTCCTTGACCAATATTTGAATTTCCGTAAACACGTTGACTTATTATGTACAAGGGTACGAAAATTAAAATAAATATTTAAGAGTCTTCGCAGTGTAGCCGATTACACATTATTAAGGCGTCTATATATCGTTGTGTCAATCAATACTTACTTATTTCATTACTTCATGGGGTGGTGCAGCAAAGTCAATTACTGCCTTTAGAGCGCGCTCAAAGAGCCATTCTTAAGGTGGCGACATTTCGCCCATTTATATTTCCCACACACGAGCTTTACATTGCATGTAATGTACTAACAGTCCGACAGTTATTTA